CTGATAGCAGAGGATCGCCGCATAGAGCCTTACCGCGATGATTGGATCGGCGACCTCATCAGCGTATCGGGTTCGCTGGCGACACGCAACTCGCTGGCGACTGCGAGAACGCGACTTTTGCTCCAGAGAAGAACACATATCAGCAAGATCACGAGCTTATGACGACAGACAAACCAAAAAGACGAATGTTGTGGTCGCTTTGGCAAAGTTGGATCAGGATCAGCGCGACGATGCAAAGGGTTAAGCCGAGGGTTAAGCCTCTTATCGACTCAATTATCAGAAGATAATCTTGAGTTATTGCTTGGAGACATTCACTTCCAAGCGATAAATTGCACTACGTGGACACAGCTATCTGACTGAGCACTAATGTCACGACACAGACAGAGTTCAAAGAGACGGTCAATGGTCATCCAAGAGTTCGGCCAGCTTACCACCGCCTCTTGCATAATCCGCAAAAGCAAGCGTCCCTCTGACGCACAGCTATTCAAAGAAAACGTAGATGAGAGATAGCAACGCATCAATAGAACTAGATCATACACAAAACAGACCCATGACGTCACAGCACACGTCTCAAATCGTAACACACCAAACGGAATCCACTGGAATGAAACACCTGCCCAAGGTCGGAGATATTACTAATCTGGTAGCCATTTAGCAGGCTCACGGTGTTCGACTGTCACCGGTGAGCGGGGCTAATCACCGGGATCTGCGGTTTTCAGGCAGCTCTACGTCCCATACTTTTATCACAGGCGGAAGTAAATTTATCACAGACATTTCTTCTCCATTCCACCTGATGGAATACCATTATTCACAGTCAAACTTTTCCGCGTCTTGAAAAGAAGCCGCGTTATTTGTGTCAGCGGTGAACCATTGAAGATGCATCCCAAGGCAACAGCAAATAAAGCACAATGAGAAGAATGCCGCCTAAATAAGGTGGGCGGACAACGTCGAGAAGCCACCATAAATTTCGTATTGAAGCTTTCCACAACTTGAAAGGCCACATAATGGAGGAAAGTATATCATACTCATAGGATATATCTGATATTAAGCATATTTCCAACTCTCTAACTAAATGATTTGGTATTTCAATCATTCTAAAAGCCAGTGTCCTGATTTTCGTGAATTTGGGTGGAAACCCACACCCGAACAGATTCTCTTTGCGACGTCCCGGAAAGCCAAACGACGTCCCTGACAGATAAAAGTCGACAGGTATATCGAACACTAAAAGCAAACTAACAAAAAGAAATATCACCTCTGTGGCCTAAAAACACAGCTATGCAAAATGATAATAAATATATCCCAAGGCCTTACAAACCCACTCTTATACTCAACTCCCGTTTCCTACACCGCTGGCAAGGCCATAGACCGCTGGCCAACTGCCCAACAGTAAACAACGCGGTTTTATTTTCGTTTTCTGTGCGTCAGATATGTATAGTTTTTTCCCTTTATCATGTGAAGGTAATAGCTGCCATATGAAGGAGAAAAGACGTTGGAATAGAGGGATCTGAGGACGTCGTTTTCCACTTTTCAGTTTTAGTAACTGTGCAGTGTATAGATAAAAATGAATCATGCGAATATATTACTTCGACATTTATCTATAAGCACACAACATACCTTTTGTATCAAATCACTGTAACATATTTAATTATTTTTTCCCCTCAGAAGGTCACAGTAACGGGGTAGCGCTGCCCCTTGAACCTACCCTTCAAAAGTAATTAATTTTGCATATGTTGATAGTGGTTGGGGAAAAAGTTTGTGTTTATTTATTTGAATTAAAATAAAGTTACCGAATTTCAACAGTTTTAATTAAAGTATGTCGTCCTTGGCTTAAAAATACACGTAATGTTGGGGACGTCGATTGACCTTGTCATTCCCATTAAATCGACGTCCGTACAAAACTGAAAAGTGCACAATGATTTCGCATTTTTTCCAGCCAAGAAAAATTCAGCGTCTACCTTGGAGTTTTCTTAATTGAATTCCATAGCAGGAAGCTATGGAAATTAATATTCCTAACTGTTTTCCACCTCTTTGTTTGGACGTCTGCTTTTTTACGTCACTCCTCTTGCTCGATATAATATCCCTCTTATGACGTCAATATTTAGTGATAGCCGCTGGCTCTTGGGCTGATTTTTGTTGAAGCATATTTGTTATTGACTTGTGTACGATCATGGACAAGAGGGGTGTTCACGGGCACCGCACACTGCTGCGTGCGGTGTGTCCAGCAGGCGTGGGGGTAGGGGATGGGTAGGCGGTTCTGACGTCACGGCTGCGTGCGGTGGACGGTCCGCTGTGGCCAGTCCCGACCGGCCACAGCGATCGCTGTGTGCGGTGACGGAAGGCTGACGTAGGGACGAAGTGGGCGGAGCTTCGAGGCTGTGTGCGGTCCGACCGTACACAGGGCCCGTGAACAGCCCTGAGAACTAGACATCTTCAAAGTGTTGTTTTGGTGTTTGTGGTGAATGATTGAAATTTATATTGTACTAGGGGTAAACTGGCATTACTTTGTGTTTATATACGATCCTTTGAGGTGCCTTCAGATGCTATTAGTCAAAATTGCTAGTGAAAATCGCTAATTTTAAGAGATTTAAGGGATCTTCAGTGGCTGAGGCTCCGCACCGATATCGACGTCCTTTTGAAATACTGACGTCCTTGCGACTTCAATCACACTCTCCTAAAAATCAATTTCAGGACACTGCTAAAAGCCGTCTTCTGCAATATCAAAAAAAAATAAAATAAAAATGACTCTGAATGCCACAACTGAGGCTGCACTGCAATGTCCAATTACTCCACCGAATGTCAGACTGCGGGGGCGTCTGGCGGTGGACTGCGACACTGAACAGGAGCATCCCAGCACCGTGCCACAGCGGTCCGAAGGGGGCCACGCTCGTCTAAACAGACCTCCCGAGCCGTAAAAACAGACACCGCGGGGCACAGCACTGCAGAGAGCGAGCGAGCGGCGGAGGAGGAAGGGACGGAAAGAATTTATGGCGCGAAGGGAGCAGTGAAGGGATACAGGGGACAAAGAGATAACATGGCAGGGTTCACAGGCTACGTCGATCTTGTTCTGTCAGCATATACTCGTACACAACCAGCAGTAACTTTATGTTTGGGATGCCGTAGCCGCTTTGATGCTCCTATCGTGCAGTGTTTGTCCCGGCAGCAGTCGGAAACGAACCAGGGCAGGAACGAAGTAGAACCAAGTGGCAGACTTGGTAAGGGCTTCATTCAATAGAGGAGAAGCGATACCACCTAGACAATGAGCCTCCAGCATCAGTAGTCCCTCTGGTATCCACTGTTCATGGAGGAAAACGACAAGCGGTGACACCGGATCAATAACCATCTTGGCGTTCCCAGGTACCGTTTCTCGTTCAGTAGTCCGGCAGCCTGGCCTCATTGATCCTCTGAACATGGCGTCCTCGGCCAGTTTTCTCCGAACACGGACGGAGTATAAAGGTCAACACGGTCTCAGCACAGCCCTGCACCTGGTCGCCTCTGCTCCCAGAACAGCTCACCGGCTAACCGCTCGACCGTCCGCATGATCATCGATTCGACGAACGGTCTTGTCGACATCAGAACAGCGCCAAACAAACCCTACAGAGTACGTATCGGACCATGAGTGTTGGAATGTTAAACACATCCCAAAATAGTCCTGAGATAAGCCAGAGATGATCACACGAGCTCCACCGTGCACCGGTCGGAGCTCCGGTTACCATGGCACTGGCACCAGCTCAGGAGCCAGCTGGACAAGTCGGCACGCTCAGCACCATGCTACGTCCGCATTCTTCAGTGCCACAGCACATTCGACATCATGACCAAGAACGGCCATTTTCACTGCGAAGGGGGATCTAGTTTCATTAGGTTCACGGAAGGTTTCAAGGGTCAGCCTTCCTGAGAGGACACGGATGTGGTCTGTCCCTCGGCACGGCAGCGCCGAGGGATGCATCAGACGTGACACCGTCGTACGGCGCTTCCGGGCACCTGGGCCCAATCTTACCAATGCCGTGAATAGGATTTGGCAGCACTGGCCGGAGTTTACGGCACTGATATCAAACATATCCTTTTTATTTACATCCACATAATCTTATCTAATGATTTTGATAGCGTGAATGATTATGAATGTTGCCTGAACGAATGAATAAGTGAATGTGGAATAGTTCTGAATGTTACCAAATGCCGTGAATGCGCATTCACGGCAATTGGTAAGATTGGCCCCTGGATCCAAACAAGAGCTGCACGCAACGTTGTCACAAGATGATAGAATGCCCGATCCAAGTGGATGCGCCACGAGACGTCTCCAAGAGAAAGGCGATGATGATGGATAGCAGGAGCGCGGGTTGTACAAACTCAGGCAGGTCGAAGTGGCTTACAATGCCGCCAGCGATAGAAGCTGCACGCATCCATCTTCTTCCTGGCACCACCTCATTCCTTGTTTCGGCTATATTACTTCACAGCGCATAGGGCTACCCCCCGGGAGCGTCCTCCGTATTAAATACCGGCTGTTCTCAATTAGCCTGGCCTGAAACTCCTCCAAACTGCGGTGATCCGAGCTAATTGGGCCAGCAGCCAGCGCGCCTCCAAACTCCGCCGGCGGTGCCCAAACTTGGGGCGTAACGCCCAACACTTCCAGGCCGGCGCACCGATGAGCACCAAGTTGCCCGGAGCGAGGCGAGCGATATTTTACGAGACTCATCGTCCCGCAGCCAACAACTTATCCGGTGGCGGCTAGCCGCGCCGCCCAGATGACGCCATCGCTCCGCTGTATCGTGACCTCTGGCGGCGGCGGTGACCCCGACAACGAGACGCCGGTCAAAGGTCAGGCGACGGTGGCAAGGTGGTAAATTCCACACGGAAAATTTACAAGCCGACACCGGGCACCGTTATTGTCACCCCTCTGGTGCTAACTCTCTAGCGGAATAAATAACGAGAATTTAGCATGCGGTAAGATTCGAGCCCGAGACCTTCTGTGGAGGGTGGATATGAGGCGAGGGCTCGAGACTCACCTTGAAGTCGATGTAGCCGTTCTTGTCCATGTCGAACGTTCGGAACACGTGGTCACAGAACTCCTCTGCGTTGCCAGAGGGGAAGAACATCTTGTACATGTCGACGAACTTCACGGGGGTGAGCTTGCCATTAGGACAGTCTTGCTGAAAAACAGAGAGACACGAACGATCAGCTGGCGGTACACAATTACATATGTGGCGTTATAGGATAGGGTGAGCAGCTGATTAACGACAATCTATGTGAGGGACCGTGTCTTAATGCATCGTATTCACCAAAACATTTGTCACACAATGCAAATTCAAAACATGTCAGCTGAGTCATCTCTGACTTAAATTTTACACAAAACAACAAATCAAAAGTAAAAGACGACACGGCGGATTCTCCACTTCAAATTTGCAAAAGCATTATGTCGTCACCCCCGCTTCCCGAGCCTCACTTTAACCTAAATCCTACTAAAGCGCCTACAAGCCCACCACCTTCGCGACTATGTAACACCGACCCGGTTCACTTAAATCTGAGTCTTCCAGATACCCCATCGAAGAAAGCCCCACTAGTCGTGTTGAGCGGCCATTTTGTCGGTCGTATTTTGTGCAGCGCCGGCACAAAGCTGACAGAAATTAGGCCCCTAGCGTCGTCAGTGCCGTCATGAGTGCACGACGGACGCCACGGGACGAGGGCGGCGGCGGCGACGGAGGCGGACGGAGGCGGTGGTGGAGGCGAGGGCGGCAGCGAGGGCGGGGGCGGCCGTAACGAGTTGCCCAGGCGACCGAGACGTCCCACGGAATCCGTTAATCGCCCTTGTGGCGGTGGCGGCGCGGCGGGGCGGCGGCGGCGGAGGTCGGGTGTCGGACGTCGCGAAGACCCATTGTCACGCTCGGTCGACACCCTATGGTGCAGCGCCTGATGGCCCGTCGTCGCCGCCCGGCTGGCCGCCGCCGAGGCAAGACGAGCAACGGATGGGCCAGCGGATGGATGGGACAGGCAATATACCAAGACCGGCACACAGCACGGCGACACGAGCCAGGACGACGCCGACGAGGGCGAGTGAGAAAAAAAGTGTTTTCCCGATGGATGTTTGGGAGAGAGAACTTCTGTGACCGTCCAATAACTGTCCGGCCCGACGAGAGCGACTGAAAGGGTGAGGCAGACGAGAGCGGACGAAAAAACAGACTGATAGAGGGTGAGCCCGGAGCGACGAGCCGGAACGTTCGCTCGATTAAGTGACCCAGATGGCACGCCAAGCCGATCGTCCAAACGACCGACATCCACGCGATAGCGTGAAGCATTTCTTGCCCGTCAAGAGCTAACTTCCTCATAATGGTTTAGCGTGACACAAAGTTCCTTCCGTCGTCTTCTACAGTGTCTCCGTCGTCCTTGACCGCGTGGAGCGCATCACGTGAGTGGACCACCACGAGGTCAGCGATCCGCCACGCTTCTCCCTAGACCTTGAACCCGCGCCGAGAGCCAGGGACCGACCATTGCGTCCCGGCTTCATTTCGTCCGAGCAGAGCTGCCCGTCTCGGTCGGTGGCCTCGATCGGGGCTATCATCGAGGTGATCATCGTCCCATCGCCGCGCAGGCAGCTGAGGCGACCAGACCAGCCTGTCGGCGGCCCGCTGAAGAACTCAGGAGCTGACAGACAGCGGGCCACTCGGGAGCAGGTAGACAACAAGCGACTTAGGGGTTCAGGAGCTAACAGCCAGTGATCAGTTCAAGATTCAGCAGAAGCAGGAGCTATCGAGGTGTCCAGGAGTTCAGGAGCTAATAGACATCCAGAGCTTAAGATTCAAAGGCTGAGGGATTGTGAGGAGGAAACATCGGGTCCGGCTATCGGAGTCGGAGACAAGTATCTGTGGTGGTGACGGATGACAAATTGGGTGCTTTGACACCAGCTGTTACAGCCCAGCTGACGGCATCAGGTCCAGGCTCCAGCGGCAGCTGCAGGTGATGGGTGCGACAGCTCTGCTCTGCGGGTCACTGACCATCGAGGCGAGCCGTGCGAAGCGCCGTCCGGGGGCTTCCAGCAGCTGAGGCGCGCAACAGGCACTGCAGCCGGACCCCGCCCTCCCCGCCGCCTGTTGAGGTCCGGCCGACCGCTGAGTTTCACCAGACACCGGCGGGTCAGCACCTTCGCCGATACTGCCGCGGTCACCAGATCTGCTGCCGGTGGCGCCAGGCAGGCTGCGACGACCTGACCGGACTGGGCACGGGATGGAGGCATCGGGCCACCCTCCTCACTCAGACACCGGAGCCTTCTCTCCCACCGAGTCCATCTTCGCCGCCGTCGAGGACCGGGCTGGCAAACGTCATTCCGTCGGACACGCCGTCCAATCAGAAGATGGACGGCGCCGCGGAGAAAAATAACGGCCGGCCCGCCCCTACCAGACGCCCGGATAGAAAGCGTCGGGACTCGGGAGTAACATGTCACTTGGAATCGATTCGGCTCTTCAGTAAATGTGTGGCTAACTCAATGATGATAAAGCGCCGGAAAAGTTCATAATATTCTAGTCGCTTAGTAGGAAGGACACCACCTGCTGTATCTTACCACTAGCTAATGTCGGCCTGAGCCCACCTGGGTCCTTCACCCCGGCATGACCTCAGACAGAGCGATCGAGCGGACACGGCCGTCCGACATCGAACCATCGATCTCAGAAACTGCGCCGGGCCGGCGGCGTTATTACAGAGCACTGCTGACCACACAAAAACCGGACATCTCTATGGATCGCGGGGAAGCTGGCGGCGGTCCGACTCCGGCAGCTGAGGGCGGTACCACACCGGCAGGTCCCGAAAAAAAGCTTCCTGTTCTGTGTCCGGGGACAGAACCGCGTCATTCATGCACAGATGTCCGCTGTTCTGAAAAGAAGTGGCCGCTCACTTTATTAGTGGCGTATTTACAGAAATGTACCGAAAATACGCAGCTACGTATCCTTCAGGGCGTTTCAACATCAATTCGTTTCAGATATTTCGCAAACATGCGCCAGTGTAAAGCCAGGAATGGCACCGCGGATAAGAATATTGCGTTTAGAAAATCACGACGATCTCAATGCGTATAGTAAATGCAGCTTCATCAGACGAATGAACATTGAACAGCCTCCTTTTGGCTTTCATCCAATGGCTCGCAATCAACGAGAAGTGGGACTAACCGAACAAACCTCACTGCGAGGAGGCGTTAACTTTTCCCGAGAAGGCACAATATAGCACTTGGCACTCTGCGGTGATTGGGCCTTTCCACCTCACTACAAAACCGACCAGCGAAGCGATCGACCCCACGCCATTCTGATGCTAAACTTGAGCTTTCGAATTCAATCTCATCTAAGCAACAGCCTCACTACGGACCGTCATTTGTAGTCGAAAGCTCGCGAACCGCCCTGAAGTCTCCAGTATCTGTGCGTTCTGGCGGAAAGTTGCGGCCATCGAACTGCACGCCCTAAGGCAGGCTGCTACTCCTGTCACTGTAACTTCGGTGGCCGGTGGCCAGCTCATGTCCTGCTTTGGCCCAAGAAGCTGACATTGGCTATGCCTGGTCCTCAGTCACGTCTCGTCGCTTTCTCCCGACGAGTTCCACGCCATCGACCGAACCATCTTCCTCCACCACTTGTCTTTATGTATATCCTGTACACAGGTTCCCTTTTCGCGTCCTTTGGTAAAACGACTCGGACAGCATTTCGCCAGGTCCGCGACTAGCTCCATTCACAGAATCAATATGGCAGCTGGAGGCCATAGTTCGGCAACTGTTACAGGCTGCTCAGTACTCAGTCATGCAAAGCTTCAATCAAATAACAAAAGCAGGCGTGCCTTCAGCTATTCGTAAGTTTGATAGTCACTATATGGACGGCGCTCATATGGCCGTGATGGAATCGATCCGGCGATATTAAACGGGTCACTGGTCAGGGAGAGTGGAGCACTGGCTATAACAGCGCGACATGCGGACCTATCGGGGGCTCCGGGGACTTACGGAGACTCGGGATATGAGCGTGGGTGATGGAGCACCCTCATAGAGCGGTGGCGGCCCCTCGAGCACCCACCGGGTGGGCACAATAAAGACGCCACAGCTGGTGAAACACAGCGGTGAACCGGCCGCGACGTCGCCATCGCTTGGACGGACCGCGACGGAAGTGGTGACGCCACGCACCCGATCGTTAGTGCTGCCCGCGAACCGTGCTTCAGACGGGGGACAGACGATTCGCACAGGGCGGCGCTTCAAAAGACGAACCTGTCCCTTGTTCGTCACGGGACCGAAAACGTTGACAGGTGCCAGCTGGCGTGGATGCGTGGAGCCCACGTCTGGTTTCACCACGGGAGGAGCGTGCTGTATAGTCGACTACAGAATGATGTTCCACTCCTCAGAAGCTATCAGTTGACCGGAGCGCTAAGTTGTGCCGTTTATCACGCAATTAAGCGTGTCGATTGTGAGCATTGGGACAAAGCCATTATTTGTGAACTCAGCCCGTGTGATGCGGCACAGCCTACCACTCCAGGCAAATAATTGCCTGTGAAAAGTGGAACATCATCCTGTATTTATATATATATATATATATATATATATATATATATATATATATATATATATATATATATATATAAAAGGCTTTTAGCAGCAGCAATGCAGCAGCGTCAGTCTTTGTTCGCTTACGTCACAGTGCAGGTTTATGAGCCTTATCTGCCGTTGAGCACTCGGCTATGGATGACACCCCAATCGCTGTATGACTGTTCAGTGTTCAGTACCCAATATCCATCACAGTCATGAGTAGCTGTCTACATCCGTCACTCAGCAGGACACAAGTCTCGGAGTCAGACACATTGCTAGCACGATCCAGCTGACAGCGACATCCGGACGACCGAGCCGGGGCGGCAACGGCGACGGCTGGCGCGGCCCTCAAGGCTCAATATTTCGGGGGATCATGGTGGTGGCGCGGGCCGAGTCTGAACCGACCCGAGACGGGTCTTAATCGAACGGTTTTCGGGTCAATGACCTCCCATTGGTCACCACATGAAAGGAATCGCCTCTGGTGACTTCTAAAACAGTCCTGGGGGCGCCTGCGGTGACAGCCAGCGGCAATTTTAATTTAAAACTTCAGCGCACAAAAGTTAAATATCAATGTAACTACTAAGAAAGTCAGACCTTCACGAGTGTCCAGCTTCTTCACATAAAACGCATAAAACGCGTCAGGCCAGACAAATGGAAAGTCAAACGGGGCGTGACAACGATTCTAATATTAAATCCCGTCTGCATGGGAGGCAATTCCAGGAAGTGGATGACAAAGGAAATGGAATGTCAGGGGCATCCGACGTCGGCCGCAGTTGAACAGACGGGCTCTGTGAGGACGGTGACCGCTCTCTGGCGAGGCAATTACATAGTCAGACAGTTTTCCGCGACAAACGAGCTCAAACTGGGAAGCAGCGCTATTGCAAGAGACGTCTCTGTGACTACTGTCGCTTGTAGGCTAATAATAGCCACAATTCTGCATTGGTCCACCGCAAAAACGGCTCGCACTGCGTATTTGCTGACAATCAACTTAACAGCAGAGTCCGGACTCATCAGTTGCCAGCCCTGCTACTGGTTATTCCGCTGCCGTGCCACCAATGCACAGTGGGTTCACCTGGTTCAGACGGTCCACTGGGCGCTGACGAAACCAGGCGCGCCCCAGACACGGTCCCTCGGCCATCGGTACCAGGCCGAGGCGGCGACGGCAGCCGTCGAGAACCTCCCCCTGCCCACTCCCTCGGCACAACACGGCGGCATTGATCGCCGCTGCAGGCAGCCACCTGACACACAGACACACACACCGCCGCCGGGAGGCTGCAAGGTGAGCCGAGAAACGGCCGCCGACACGGCCCGCACGGCGCGGGCAGGAGTCGGATGGAGGGCGACAGATACCGCCAGTGTTGTAATCAACGAGACGAAATTAAATAAAATCCAACAGAGAAACCGGACAACGGGTGCAATCGTCGCGCCAGGTCTTTGCCGAACGAAGACGTACTCCTGTTCGAAGAACGTCGCTCGATTTTCGGCGGTTTTGAATCCAGAACTACATATTTGCATTCAGGCACTGAGCGAATGCACTGTCTTGACCATTTGAAAGGGACTGGTTGTCTCATATAACCTACATACAGGACTTAAAACGATAAATGGTTACGATTAACACGATTAATGGTGCCGATGAACTAACAATCCAAGAAGAGTGCGATGAAAGTCACTGAATACATCAAGATAAAACAATGTACAATCCTGAGCTGCTATTGACCGCCAAAGACGTGATTTCATAAAGGCGCAAACCGCAGCTGCCATCTAACTGTAAAGACACAACGTTAACCAAGCGAAGGACCGTGAAGCCGACCTTCTCGACTTGGCCACCGCGCGCCACGACCGTGACGTCAGGGTCGTCACGACGCCGGGACACTCACAGCACTGTCACGACGTCGCGGCACTCAGCCACGACTTCGGGACCTCGAAATCGGCGGGCACCTCACGACATAAAGGAGGCTGCATTCTCAGGGACAACTAGGACCGTCAGGGATCTACAACGCTCACAAGGCCTAGTGAAACAGTGCTAGCAAGGGACCAAAAGAGCGAAGGTTAACGAAATCACCAATGCACGGTTACTGAAGTGAAAAAAAAGTTGAAGACGACAGCACACCTTCGTGGTCGCCCGACCCACAGTCCAACTTTTTGGGGATGTGCTCGCTACTTACCCGGAATCCCTTGTACCATTCCTTGATGGTGGCCTCATCGTACCGCGTGTGGGCCTTCAGGAACTCCAAGTCCTCCTTGGAGAGCTTCTGCTTGCTGCCCATACAACCCATGGCTAGAGGCGGATCTGTAACAGCAGAGACACACACGTCACAGAAACATTCAGCACGTTTACCTTTGCGTGGAGGATAGGTCATGACATGAGGAGACAATAACCTAAATGGGCATGAAAACAAAGGCACAATGTCGTTCAACAGGTGTCGCAAAAAGCAAGGGGAAATGTAGCATATGACCCCGTGTTTTAAAAAGGCGTCCATAAACTAACCATAGTAACAAAACAAGGAAACTTGCATGTCAGACAGTAAGCAGGACTGGTCAAGCACATTCTTTCGTAACCGTCTTCACTATTCACAAGACGTTCTTTCGCCTACCAAATCCAACAAACTAGTTCTGCCCCTTTCCACAGCTATTTACCAGGCAGAACTGCACCACAAACACCCTATCCTGAGGAGCCACACGGCGTCACACAGAAGCCGAAGAGGACGGTTTGCACGGCCGCACTGACGGAGGAGGCTGCAGCCTTCCCCGGAGACGGCGCTCCTCCACTCTCCGCGCGCTCGGTACGGAGCGGCTGGCTGATTTCCCCACGGCCGGCCGGTCGCCTCTCCGAGCCCTGAGCGGGGATCGTTTGCGAAGAGCAGCCGAGCCCACCGGGACCCGACCAGGCCAGGCAGGCGAGCAGGCCGACCGATCGTAGACCGCTTTATGGAGCCGGCACAGCCGGATGGAGAGGCAGGACATAGATTCGCAAGCAGGATCGCAAGAGTGTGGGGCCTACATAAAAATGTCCCGAGAGTAGTTATTTGCCCAAATACGGAGGTACGATGAAGCTGAACGGCAGTCAGATGTGCGTATAAGTTCCAACGTCCGATAGGCGAAATGCAAAATCCTGGAACAACTACGGTCGCAGTTAGTAACGATCAGTATCCTAAGCATTCGTAATGCAAACGAATCATAGTCATTTTTCAAGTCAACCCGATGTTTCATCATCATCTCCTCTCTTGACGACAATTCTTGAAGACCCCTCATGATCCTCCACGTCACATCGCTGCCCGAGCGTCGCCATCACGAGGCCACAGCACCCTTGACCAATGACCACGGCTCACCGTGACCGAACACACTGCGACCGTCACGCTTCTGTGGCCCGACAGCGGTCATCTGGCGGAGAACCGGCGCTCCCCAGCGTCGGTGACCGTTCAGACGCAGAGCAGCCCACCGGCAGGCCGCCTGGCCCACGCCAGCGCGGCCGGCGACCACTCGTCGCTAACCACGTTAGCGGTCGGCTGATCAGGTTAAGCGTCCAGCGGCCATCCCCGTCGGCCTCGACGCGGCTCGCAGGCCGGCCCGCTCACCTTTTAGCGGCTGATCTGGTTAGTAGGCGACCCGGACGCGGCTCTCCAGTGGGCCTGTCCGAGCCAACGCAGTCCCAGGGGTCCCGGACAGCGCGCCCCAGAGAAGCAGGACGACGCGTCCCAGAGGTCCTGCGCTGCGAGATCCCGCATCACCCGACACCGATCCGACGTACCCACGGCACACTTTCCGTGTGCGCGTGACGCCATCTCCCCTCCCCCGCGCCGACCCCCGGATCTAGTTGGGACGTGAGCGCTGCTCGGCCGAGTGCCAATGCTTTTACGGCCTGATTGGATTAGTGCGGTACACTGTGGAGTGCGGATTGTTTTAGGGCAGGCAAACTGGTCAGAGCTGAGGGACTGGGGGAGAAGAGAAGATAGATCCTACTGGTCAGAGCTGAGGGGCTGGGGGAGAAGAGAAGACCCTACCACCCACGATAAGAGAGCTGCGCGTCTCTGGCGAAGTCATGCGTCACACGAAGTCATGCGAAGTCATGAGTCATTATCTTGTCACGAGCGCTATCATAGCAGCTCCACCTCAACAGACTTCGTATATTCCTGGCAAAGTATGCGCGCCTCTGGCGGAGTTCATGCGCTCAGGACAAATCCAACGACCCCTCCAGAATCTGTGGATCCCTACAAAAGTCCCACATCCCCCTAGTGCCGGTCCTGTTGTTTGGTCGTCCGCCAGTGTCCAGTGGGATGGATCGCCTCACGTTCGCGCCTCTCCCCACAGACTGCAGCCGTCCCAGCGGAGCGCAGGGGACAGCGCGGACGATGAGTGAGCACGAGCCGGTCGCCGATCAGCGCGGACGACCCGCACGATATCGCCGGCTTATCGCCGCCGAGGCCGCCTCACCACCCACTGACGTCACACAGAGACCCGTGCAATCGATCCAGTGACGTCACGGCCGTAGTGCGGGCCGCCGCGGCCCAGGTCGATATGTGTCGGCAGTCGCGCCGGCAACAAGCGGCGTTCGGCACACATTCAAATCCGACCAGAGTCGTTCCAGTTGCAGGCAGCCGGCGAAAAATGGCGTCGTCGACGAACATCTGCCGAATTACGCGACGAAACGAGCGAGAATCGACACCCGGCGATGTATAATTCATCGGGATGGAAACGACGGCAGTCAGTGAGGGTTATGCTCGGCCAGTGAGCGACCGAATGGTGCCAAGAACGGTCGGTACAGCGCCCCGATCGACCCCGTCCAGGAAGGTCGGCCATTCTCTGGCAAAGGTCGGTAATGTTGGCCCAAACTAAACACGGATGATGGGCATCGGGCCAACTTTACGGATCACCGTGATGGACTATATGGAGCGATACCGGCGGGTGCCTGGCATTCCACGCTCAACGAGACAGCAGCAACGGAGTGCAATGCTGTCTTCTGACGCGATATGGCGATACAAAACCTACTTGGCCGTTGGGAATGACATTCATTAAGACACAGGTGACAACAAAATACAAAGCCACTCAGTTCCTTGACCTTTCCGCAGGCTATCATTGAGGCAGAGCATGACAAAAGCCACTCTGCCTGGTACAACACACTGGCATTTGTTCCTCCAAACCATCAGGTAAAATGTCACAGCGCATCAGGCCGTCCATCATCAGACATCGAGGGCTAAATCTGACATCCAGGAAATCTAGACACGAACAGACAGGATAGACTCAAACGAACGCACCACGACAACGACAGCCGGATTTGGAGCATCGAGCGGCTGACGCTGAGAGTTGCATCAGTGAGTTTGGCAGTTCAGCATGCACCACTGTGCACGGCAAGCTCAGTAACAATATCGGCCTCGTGGAGCAGCGTGTGAGGGCGTAAAACCAACAATGCGAGCTAAGCTGAACAGCTGCAGTTTCGTGCGCCAGATTGCCGTAGAGCGCCGCGCCGGCGCCACCCTAACCTGGCCCGTCCACAGAAGGGGCGTGCGTGCCTTCGGTGCCCAGTCACCACGAGAGGCACCTCCCCATGAACAGCCACTGGGCGCCGGTCAGCGACGCGTGGCCAGCGGCCATTCGGACACCCCTCTCCGTGCCACCGTGCACCAGCTGCACGGGCCGTCTGCACGGTGTGCACGGCAGGCACGGCCGGAACTTCCGGTCACCTGGAGCCGGCGGCCGTCACGGGCCCGCATGGCCGTCACGGCCGACCGTCACGGGCCGCCGTCACGGGCTGTCAATCGCACAGCGGCCCGCCCGCAGACGACCCAGTGATGGGGAAACGGGTGGGGCTGCGAGCGACAGAGGACGCGTGTCGCCCGCCATGAGAGGTACGGAGGTGACTGCACGGCAATCGAAGGCCGAGCTGAAGGTGAAGAGCACAGCGTAGGAAAGGAAGCCGAAAAAAGGAACCTCACTGGCAGGTAGCCACTAAATCATCGTGTCAGCAAGGCAGACAGCAGCAAACTTCTATACCTCTCTACATGTCGTCTCTGGGATGTGACCTGTTGGCCATATTATAACCAAATAATAAAGCATAATAAATAAATAAATAAATAAATAAATAAAAAGGTAAATGAATAAGCTCAAAATAAACAGCCAACATAATATGACATCGCTAAGCGTAGGCCATGATGGTTGGCCCCGGGGCTCCCCTTCCGTCATATCACACGTCACTCCTCCCCCAACTTCGTTCGACAAAGCACAGTAATAGCCAATTGTGTGTCATCCCATCAGATGTGCATGCTTACATTGGAATGTGCTGCTGAGTGAATACTATACAATACAATACAATACAACTCCTCCCTCACCCCGTCACCTCACCCCATCCCCAGACCTCCACCCCTCCCTCCCCCTCGTCGCGGCACGCCGGTCGGCCAAGGTCATGGCTCCCGGTTCCTGCCGACACCGGCTGTCGGCTGAGCGCCAAACAGGTGTTCCCGGAGCCCACCAGGCCGTCCCTGCCCCGCGCCGCGGCCACATGGGCGCCGACAGCTGCTGGGATCACGGAATCACGACCGGAATCACGGGATCACGACCGGAATCACGGCAGCATCAGCATCGAGCGGCGTGAAACGGTACGTGTTTCTGGCGTCGCTGGTTGAATGGAGTGGTTGGGACTCCCTTTCCACATCTGCGGCCCTGCAATTTCATTCGTGACATGTAGCAATGGAGTAGAACTGGCGTTGAAGACGTCGGAAAAGGTGACCGACGAGGTGATATCTGCTCCCGCCACTGCCAGCTCCGTCTACCACAGCCAACTCGGTCCCACCACCACCGCTGCCCCTGCCATCGTCAGCTCGGTACCATCGTCAGCTCAGAACCACAGCCAGCTCAGTACCACAGCCAGCTCGGTACCATCGCCAGCTCAGTACCACAGCAGTACCACAGCCAGCTCAGTACCACAACCAGCTCAGTACCACAGCCAGCCCGGTCCCGCCGCCGCCGCCGCCACGGGGGGACCGGTGGAGTGACGTAAGCACCGGATGACCTTGGCGGTTCACCTCCGCGGCCGTCGGGCCCCCGCCGCTCTCTGCTCTCCCTCTCCTCATACCGTACTGGATCCTCGTCCTAGGCGTACGGCGGGCTCCCGCCGCCAGCTGCTCTCCACCTAATCATGCCGTATCTCCTCTCGTCCTAACCGGTCGACGGGCTCCCACCGCTCTCTGCTTTCCACCTCTTCATACCGGTCTTCTTCCCTTCGGCTCCCTACACGATTGACGAATCTATACCGCCATTTCTGCTGGTTTCTCTCGCATTCTGATCGGATTCCTCTAT